ATGCTGTGGCTTACACTTCAAGTGAAATATCTTAATACTAAAGTAAAATAACGAATTAACCGAGGTATAGTCAGCGTGAATTAAAACTCTTACCTTTCTGCTGTGTTATGATGATTCCTACAGCGGGGAGCCAATTTGACGCGGCTTCGGCGGTCGTTATCACTCTGTCGAACAGGTACAAAAAAATAAATAACGCCGTTGCTTGTTGTTAAAAATGCTGTCGTTGTGATTTATTGATTTTTACTAACGATTTCACAAAGAAATGCATTGTTACATTTCGAAAAACAACCGAACAAAATGGAAAACAAAAACCATGAACACAAAACTAATTTAGTTTGCTTGTCTATAACCTATTATTAATAAAGAAATGACGATAAAGTGCGAAAATAAATCATTCATTTTTTTTTTTTTTTTTATATAGTGTGAATAGTAGGTTCCATAAGTAAAAGTAAACTTTCAATCCTTACAAGATTTCAAGATTAAAAACAAAGCTGTAAGTATAGTATTTTATACATAATATACGTCATTTTTAGATATTTTTTTATTGTATTATTTTTTTTAATCTAATCATGTTGCTGATTAATTACTTTTAATCAAAAACAAATACGCCTTACAAAGTTGACTGTGTTCTATGTAATAATCAGTCAATAATATAATAAACTATAATATTTAATTTCATATTAGAGCAATTATATTATTTTATGTGCATAATTTTGTTTTATATCAGCAAGTTGAAAAAATATTCATAAATAGTTAATTAATTTTTAAATTAAGCTTCTCCCAATGCTCTACTTTTTATTTTCTATTTATAATTTTCTACATATTAAATAAACAAAATAATTGAAGTAGAAATATTAATTTATGGCCTATTAAGTGTTTTATTTATATATTCATTTTCTATTGGAATATTTAAGGCAATTTAAGTATTATATTTTTATACTTAAAGTCAAAAATTATATATCAAATTGATTTATATTATGTTTAATTTTGACATCATTTAATCTGCTATAGTTTTTTTTAGTATAAAATATTAAATAATTGTATAATTTTATAAATTAATAATTTATTACAGTAAAATATGCATTACAATAATGAAGAAAATAACTAATAATAAATTAATAAGTGTAAATAATATTTTAAATAATCACTGACAACTGTCAGTTACTCCAGTGGAAGTTTCCATAGAATGCTGTTAGTGAATTCAGCTTTCCATTAATAATATTCTGCTGAATTTCAACTTTTCCAAAACCGCTTCCCAACCGCATACACTGAAAAATTATAATATAAAGTTTAGTTTATACTTAACACCGTAGATCATGTATTTTACTTCAAATATATTAGTAGTTTTCGGCATATGAAATGCTATATTAGGCGCTATAGTCTTAACAATTTCGAAAATATTAAAACCTCCTCCAAAATCACCAGGGCACATAGATTCAATAGTATAGCTTTTATTAATAGAATATTCTGGACCTCCCCATGGTGGTGACATGAATACAACATCGGCTTTCAACTTTGGGTAAATCAAAAACAAGTCACCAACTATAAATTCAATTTTATCAGCAACACCATATATCTCAGCATTATGACGCGCTAATTGTATTTTTATAGGATCAATATCAACTGCTATAACTAAATATAAATCATTTTATTAAAATTTATACTTATTATTTTACATTGTACTAATAATACCTTTTTTGCATGTCATTGCTAGTTGGATTATATTTCCGCCTGCTCCGCAAAAAGGATCTAACACTATTTTATTTTTACAACGTTTTGCTATATGACGACTTAATACTTCTGGACACACTGAGTAAAAGCTTTCTGTAAAATAAAATATGGTTTCAAAAAATAAATTTTAACACAATCCCTACGAGTTGTCAAAATATAAATGCACGTACCCTAACTTTATCTACTTATCTCTGTATTATTTCAATACATATATATTATTTAGAAAAAAATTATATGAAAATATATGTGTAATTAACATGTTAAGAATAATGTAATTTAATTACCAGCGTCCAAATGAATACCGTGATCAAAATTTGTAAATAACATATGTCTCATTAACCAATATTTAATAGGAATCTGTTCAGGTTTTTTAGTACAATTTGAGTTAGTGTATTTTTGATTTATTAAGTTTTGATAGTTTTGATAATTTTGATAATTCTATTATAAAAATATAAAATACTTAATTTATTTAATTATATTTATACAAGCGCACATAGTTTTTTTTCTATGATTATTTTTAATAATATGGTATAATGTTATATGTTCCAAGTTTATAAAGAATTGTGTTCAATATATAAACAACAAAGCTTAATCTTGTACATATGCAAATCTTGTTATTCAAAATTCTAAATATCATGAAAATTATTGCATAATATGCATTAAACCTCAAGTATCATGTATACAAAGTAAAATTATTCTTAAATTTATACACAAAATAATAATCAATCAATTGCATTTTTAAATTAGATTTTTAAAGCTATTATTAAATTTAAAATATGTTTCATACATAATTTTCAATTTTTCCATTACAGTGGTTCTTATCCGGAAATGCTGGAGAGGTTATTGGCTTTTGATATTTCCCTTTCTGATTATTCTTAAATTTATCCATAAAATAATTAACAATTAGTTGAATTTTTATAACTATTATTAAATTTAAAATATGTTTCATACATAATTTTCAATTCTTTCATTGTAGCGATTCTTATCCAAGAATATTTGAGAGGGTATTGGCTTTTGATATCTTCCTTTTTGATTGTATCCATCAGAACTACCTATTGAATTCTAAAATATAACAAATTATATTAAAAAATTTTGTTAGTTAAAAAATAATTTAAATTTAAAAATTAATTTTACTGAGATATTATTTTAATATGATTTATTACTTAAAACATTAAATCAGATAAAATATACACTTAGAAATGTAGTATTAACATAAAAAACTGCATAAATAAATAACTTAAATATCAAAATATAAAATTTGTCCAAAATTATTAATTTTCTATTCAAATAAAAATGTCTTTAATAAAGTACTAATACCCATCACTCGGGGTAAATAAAAAAAATAATAAACTCGGGGTCTAATATTTTATTCATAATTAACATGAAACTTATGTTAAAATTTGAAATTATGATCGTTTTAATAAAAAATTAAAAATATATTTACATTTGGTTTTGGCGACGTATAAGTTTTTGAATCATATCCGGTATTAAACTGTTTATTAACATTATGAGACCGTATCTTGGACGGATAAACTTCATAAAATTTATCATCATTACACACAAAACCTAGATTCTCAAGAACTGCAGTAATTTGTTCTGAATTTTTATCGTATAATTGTCTATAACAAAAAAAAAAAAAAAAACACTAATATGAATTGATTTATTTAAGAATGGTGTTTAAGAATTTTCCATTTTATTTTTGCATTTATTCCATAATAGTACAATATATATAATAAACTATATATATAGTATATAACAATAATCTTAGTCTACAGTCATACTAATATGACAATAACCTACATAAATTATATTGAATAGTAATAATTTTGAAAAAAAAAATATATTTAGTTATTTCATATGATAATAATTTAATTAGCTTAATAAAATAGTTTGATTAACTTGAATTTAAATCAATAGTTAAAAAAAATAAATAAATATCACTTACGTTTTATTAGTTGGTTCATTTTCAATAGCTGTAGTACATAATTTAGGTTTATTTGGATGGAAGTTACTATTAAATGTTTCATTTTCAACAAATGATTTGAACCTATTATTTGGACATCTATAATTCCTATAAAAACATATTTTAAATTTAAAACTTCAAAATGGATGTAAATCTGTTACGTATTTATAGGGAAATAGGGTAAATTAGGTGCTCATCTCCAAAGTCCAAACATTATGAAATCTTCTTATGAAAGGAAAAACTAAAAAAGTTGTGCAGAAAAATAGTTATTAAATAAAATAGACTTATAAGACTTATACACACAAAAAAATGAAAAAAATACTGCCGTTGTCATACTAAATCAATAAGTAAACATATTCATTCATTTTGTCTGTTTTTATTCATATTTACGATAAAGATTTCAACAAAGTAGTGTAATATTATTTTGTCTGTGTCATTATATTTTATTTCATTTTTTTCAACAAGGTATTACATAAATTAAAGAAAATAGTAGTTTTTTAACCTCAATTTTTTTTTTTTACGAAATAGTCAAATACTTCCCGGACGAGACCGGATAATTTGGCTAGTTTTAAATAAATCTCAATTAAAGTAATTTCTATTTGGCTGTTAATAATTATTAAAAATTTAATATTTGCACAAAACAAGAAAACAAAAATGTTCAAACATTTATATAATTTCTAGAACTTGTATCTGAGTTTGAAATAATTCCCCGCTCCCAGCAATTCAAAATGTACCTATATTTACGCCACTGATCTAATAACACGTACCTACCTACGTCCTACATGTTACGTAAGGTATTGAATATTATTTTTTTAATTCCTGTTAAGAGTATGTACCTTTTATTTGCCACGAAGTACGTACACAACAGAGTTAAACTTTCTCTGTGGTACTGGCGCCCAAACAACACTTCAACCATTTTTCCGGCGCGCGACGTATAACTTGGCTTTTCCGTGAGGTTATAAGTGTTGTTGATGGATTGCTTCGGTCTCCAATTTGGAGAGCCTTTTGAATAATTATTCCGATTCATATTGGTACGGATTTGCTTCGACGTTTAACGAAAATAAATAAATATTCTTTTTTCGGTTTTCCACAGTCTCGTTCGCAATCTCAATACAAGCAGCTAGGTTGTTGCCCGGTGCAAGAAAATAACATAAATGACACACAAATATGAAACGCACACATTATATAGGTGTCTGTCGTCAAGCACCCACAATGTTATAATAATAATAAGAACCCGACAACCGCCTATTCAGCCAGTAATTATAATTTTGACTGTTAGGCCAGAATATTATAGTGCGCGTTTTTTATGTATGGGTACCATGATTTTTTATAAAAATGTGAATATTACTATGTTAAATCAGTTAAATGTACTATACACTCCAATATTACTGTAAGTATGACTTACGAGGAACCTTATATTCTACTGCTAAGCATCATCTGTTATTTACGACAATCCTATAAGGATATACGTAATAAAATCCTTTTACGTATATAATGTACTGTTATTATAAATATCCTACTGGCTACTATTAAATTAGTTATCTTAATGTCTAATATAGGTACCTAATATACAGCAAAAATATTATACAGCCAATATAATATGATGTAGACTTTTGAGCTTATATAGTATGCGTACCTAGTTTAAAATACTATTAGTAAAAAAACCAAATATTCCATAGTCTTTATTTTATAATTGATTTAAAATAGCCATTTTAATTTAATATTTTAAAATAAAGAAGTAAATATTTCTTTAAATATTTACACGCTTAATTAATGTATAATTAATTTAAAGAAAGTACTTTATTATAATGTTTAATACATTTATATAATTATAAACGAAGTAGGTAGGTTGAATTTCAACATAACATATTTTGATATTTGTAATTTTTTCAAGCTTTATACTTCAATAACTATTAGGGTAGTTAGTGATTTTTTTTTAATGAAGCAATTTATACTGATATACAAAAAACATTTCTCAATATATTTATAGTTTTCAATTTTTCACAAATATTTATGAATATCTTTAACCACTTTTGTTGACTAATTATTTTTATCTTTGTTAATATTTATACTTTACTTTCTTAAAAGAAGAAATATTTCTTTAATCTGCAGGGATTTGAATAATACAGTTATTAATTCAAATGTTTTTCTAAAGAGTAGATACACAACAATGACCTGAGTACGTCCCGTTTTTAATTTTCGATTTTGTTTTAAATAATAAAACATATCTAATATACGTATATTCAATATTCTTACATACAAATAAAATTATAATGTTATCATTTTTTTTATTTACCATCTTACATTCTTAACCCCCTCCAATTAGCGAACGCCTTCAAATATTAGACTGCATTTTGGCGATCGAGAATGTCCAGTATTTAGAGGTTTCACTATGCATAATAAATGCAGCGACTTAACTTTAAAATTTGGCTCCGAGTGCAAAATTTTTAATGATTCTCTCATCAAAGCATTATGGAGGCCACTGAACCTACAAAAATCATAGCCGTTGTTTTATGAGTGGAATTGATCGGAATAACTAAGTTTCTATTTTCCTTTTACTAGGAAAATAATCCGTTGGTATAAAAAATTAGTATAAATACGAGAACTGAGTGGTTTACTAGACAACCTGGACAATGTCCAGTGGCCTGGTTCAGGTGTGATGAAAATAATTAATATAACTAGTAAACTATACAATTTATAAACACTCAGTGTCTCGCAGAAGTGCATGTTTAGAAATTGCAATAACTCAGCAAAAACCATCGAAATTTCAAGAAATAAACAAGGAAGAATAAGATTTGTATGAAAAATTGATAATAGTTTCTACCAACATATAGGCTAAATAAATTGTCTTATACTTTTCCCAATCAAAAAAATGATCAGCACAAATCTAAGTCATAATGCCAATTAGTGTCAATTAGCATCAGTTAAAAGATAAAAATGTGTATGTGGTGTGGATATAGACATCAATGGAAAAAAAACTTTGAATTACTTCCACTTCCACACATATAATTATGTATTGTAATATGATCTGCAGTAACTGTACAAAATAATAATGGCAATTTTTTCTTACCTAAAAATTAAAATTCCAATCTCAAAATTAAAGTAATTTGTTTAAATTCTGATTTTGTATCACAAAACCGCATAATCCAATGTGTCTATATTACAAGAGGTAATTTATATCATATTAATGAATTATTGATTTATTTAAATTATAATTAAAAACATATTTCAATTTTGAATTATTAATTAAAAATACATTTTAAGAGTATAATGCACTAATTTTAAACAATAAAGTAAAAATCACTATACATAAAAACATTATAAAAATAGTTTTTTTTTTTTTTAATGTACAGAACTATGAAAAAATCATTTGTAATACAACATAATATATACACATTATTTAGAAATTTGTTAAAATACCTACCTAACAAATTTTTAGTAGATCAGGACTTGAGTAATAACAGTTGAGTACTGATAACATTACTTTGAATATTTAAACTATTGGTCTTTGACAATTTGTAATAAATAAAAAAAAAAAAAATTGTACATAAAATAAATGTAAAACTAATTGGTAGACAAATATTAGATACATACATAATATGGAAAATATTACAATATAAATAATAATTCACATCCAAAGTTGTAAAACTAAATTAGTTTAACAATACATTCACCACCAATACTGGGTAGACATTAACCATATCTATCTATTCACTGAGAAGTAAAGTTTGTGTAATCGTATGTCTCTTTTCATCATACACAAAATTGTTATTTTTGAACAATTTACTCTCAAAGAATGGTCTTAAGTCGTGTATATCTATTTGTTTTACCTAAAAAAATGAATTGGATTTAAATTAAAATTTTGAACTTATCACAAAGGAGAGATTGCTATAAAAAATATTAGATAACTTACTTTGTCTTTAAAATCTTTTTCGTGTATTTCAATTGTGTTAACTGTGACACCATGTATACCTCTAATATAAGCTAACTGATCAGTCGCCATTTGATGTAATATAAAGTACAAAAGCTCAGTGGTATCTTTTTTGAATGATAAATATTTTTGGAATGTCTAAAAATGTTGATACAGAGTAGAATAATTAGTTTAGTTTTTTATCATATAAGTAAATATATGATTAAATTCAATTACTTTTCTCATTGTTTTCATAACGCTGTATTTTTGTGTTTCGATAAATGATTCTAACATTATCCGTATAGCCATGTTAACATCATCTTCTTGAACATAGTCTCTTAAATGCATTTTAGCATTCGCTTCTGCCATACGAATCATACTTTCAATATGTCGGACAGTGATAGGTAAACTTCCAGTCATCTATATTAAATATAAATTAATACAAATTAAAATAAATAGAATACACATTTAATGTAATAAATATTACAGCGTCCAAAATAATTTTAAAAAATGTTTAAATATTATATTTATTTATATACTCATACACATGAAATGTCTCCTAAGAAAAGCAGCAAAATACTTAAACAATATATACGTAATAATTAGTACATTTAGGTAGTATTTAAAATAAATTATTAATAGTAAAAATAAGCAAATTAAAGAGGCTATAGTTAAATAAGTATTTTATATCTAAGTTAAGAAATTTAATCAAAACATAGGCATAAAATTTATAAGACTAAAGTAACTATAGTTTGAAACAGTGGTCTTCAACCGGTGGGTCGTGTAAGCCTTAAAATTGGGTTATGACAAGTCTTTTTTTTAAATAAAAATTAGATAAGGTAAAAAAATAATATTATATTATAATCATAATGGATATCAAGTATAATGTTTTTTTTATCAGGCTTACGTGGGTCACGAAAAATAAAGGCCTAAAACAGTGGGTCGCGAGTCCAAAAAGGTTGAAGACCACTAGTTTAAAATATGACTTATTATAAACAGTATTGCATTGTTTCTAAACATTCAATTCCTAAATCATTTTCGTAATTTATCAACCTCACTACAATTATTTTACTTAATAATTAATTTATTCAAATTCTATTAATTATCTATTTGTTATTCTCTAATTCTATTAAATTTTATTAATTTTTAAACATTATTAAGCAAATGTATTTTTAGAAAAATTTATTTTCAAAATAAAACAAAATTTGAACTATAAAATTATTAGTTTTGGTTATATAAGTGTTAGAATAGTTTAAAAATGATGTTATTTAATATTAAACATATTAGCATTTAATAATTTTTAAGAATTGATAATATTGTAAAAAATAGTAGACTACTTAAATATTACAACTATTTTAGGTCTTAAAACCAAATTAATTATTTTAAAGGATAATCATTATTCTCAATGCAAAGTTTAACAATTCAGAAGTTCCTTGTTCAAAAATTCATTAAGAGACAACATAGATAAAAAAAAAAATTATCTGTTTAATAATAATTTCTACTCACCATAGACTCTTGTCTCAGTTGACTATACATTTTAGCTACTTTGTCTTGGTCCATACGATGAAGTTTGGGATGAATGTTTTGCTTAGAATAGACAATATATTTTTTCAATAAATCTTGAGGTATTGGTTCCATATCAGTAGTAGAAAATGGATTTCTTAATTCACATGCTTTATCTTTGCTCAAAGGATGGTTACGCATATGAGACTGTACTACAAATGTTGCAAGCCGATTGTCTTTAACCTGATCGACTTCATCTCGTACAACACACAAAATGTCAAATCTTGACATAATAGGTTCTGATAAATTAACCTAAAAAATGGATTTAAAGATTAAACAAATAACTTATTAATTTTGATTTATAGAGTGTAATTCAAATATAGGGATGAGTGGCCAAATGGACTAATACAACAATTCTAAAGTACACCACTGACAACTCAAACTTGGCCACAGGTAATATATCCCTTAATTGTCCAGGAAAAATGACTTTTATTCCCTACCCCTCGAACTGGGCTTAGTAAAATCCCTAGGGGTTGTTACAGTTATAATTATAAGGACCCTGGTGTGTATTTTGATGATATTGGTTAAGTGTTTGATTTTGACTAATTGCTATT